CCCGCTCCCCCGCCTCTCACTTTAGCCACCCATGGGCGGTCGAGTGGCGGGTGCAATGAGGGTGGCCTGTGCTCACCGTCCCTGCTGAGCCGGCTGGGCGGCAGATGTGCTGGGAGCCGGGCCGTCGCCTGGCCCTGCTCATAGACGGGCTTGAACTCCTCGGGCAGCTCCGCCGTGCTGTTCTTCACGTACTTGGTCACCCCCAGCCACAGGTAGATCTCCAGTTTTGCAAAGATCTCTCCAGGGCGCGAGCCTGGGACCTTGGGGAGCAGAATGTTGGTGTCACTGCACAGCCAGGCCCCGCGGAGATCCAGCACCGCGCCTGGCACCGCACTCCGGGCAGGACGGGCTTGAACTCCTCGGGCAGCTCCGCCGTGCTGTTCTTCACGTACTTGGTCACCCCCAGCCACAGGTAGATCTCCAGTTTTGCAAAGATCTCTCCAGGGCGCGAGCCTGGGACCTTGGGGAGCAGAATGTTGGTGTCACTGCACAGCCAGGCCCCGCGGAGATCCAGCACCGCGCCTGGCACCGCACTCCGGGCAGGACAGGCAGCGGGCGCCGCGGCACCAATGCACCAGCCAGATGGGCCGTTTCTTGGGAAACTCCACAAATGCTACGTCCCGGAGCAGAACGGCCCAGGAAACAAAACTGAAAATATTTTATTTCCATAAAAGGCAAAATCAGAAGAAAATGTTTCGATTTTTTCATCATATTAACAAAGTAGGCTTTTCAAAACAATCAAACCATTTGGTTCTGCAAATGCCCAGATGCTCCCCAGGCTTTGTGCTGGTTTCTCTAAGCAAAACAACCGCCCTGGGGGAGGAGAGGCTTTTCCCCAGAGCAGGGCGCACTAGTCTGGCCTAGTCTGGGCTCCTACTCTTGCCAAGTCTCTCCGTCGATTTTTTCATCATATTAACAAAGTAGGCTTTTCAAAACAATCAAACCATTTGGTTCTGCAAATGCCCAGATGCTCCCCAGGCTTTGTGCTGGTTTCTCTAAGCAAAACAACCGCCCTGGGGGAGGAGAGGCTTTTCCCCAGAGCAGGGCGCACTAGTCTGGCCTAGTCTGGGCTCCTACTCTTGCCAAGTCTCTCCGACCCCGGGGAAGGGCGAGCGCAGGGGAACGGGGGGGGGTTTTCACACACGCGCTACCTTCAGAAAGACAGTCTGGATCTTCGCGCAGTCCTTGCCTTTCTCCTCCTCCACCACCGAGTAGAGGACGTGCTGGGCAGGGATCCGCGTGTACGCCACTCGCTTGTTGTTACTGAACATCCAGAGCAGGACGTCGGGGAGCGTGCACTGGGGCTGCGTGAGATGGACAAGGTGGCGTCTCAGAGCCCAGCGCAGGGAGGGAAGAGAAACGATCCAACCCTGCTTCCACCAGAGTTCATGGCAAAGCTCCCCTGCTGAGTGCCTGGCCCGTCCAGGGCAGGGATCCGCGTGTACGCCACTCGCTTGTTGTTACTGAACATCCAGAGCAGGACGTCGGGGAGCGTGCACTGGGGCTGCGTGAGATGGACAAGGTGGCGTCTCAGAGCCCAGCGCAGGGAGGGAAGAGAAACGATCCAACCCTGCTTCCACCAGAGTTCATGGCAAAGCTCCCCTGCTGAGTGCCTGGCCCGTCCAGCGCCCCATCGCCCGCTGGGTGCTTCGCGGGGGCTTTTGGGCCTCGCTGTAGGGACCTTTGGGAACTCTGGGGTCCACGCGAGCTGGCTTGGGCAGCGCGGCGGCACAGCTACTGCCTGGCGCGCGACACTGAACGCAGCTGTGCTGGG